CAAAAACAGTAGCCCCCCACCGATATTTGAGCATTCATCCCTAAGGAATGGTCGGGTAGGAACCTGGGATAAATACTTAAAAACCCCGACAAATAAGAGTCTTGTCGTGCTTAATAGTTAAAATAATAATAATACTAAAAGTCAGTAATCAATTGCAATAAAAAAAAATAATTTGTACTCCGGAAGAAAAAACGACAACAACAAAAAAAAAATGGAAGACGCTCGACGATAATAATAAGCAACTAAAAAATTAATAATTAGATAACTTGCTAAGTCGATTAGTAATAATAATAATAATAATAATAATAATAATAATGATAATGATAATAATAATAAAGCAAACTATTCTTTAAAAATAAAAAAATTAGCAACTATATACCGCATTTAAATAAAATGAATGAATGTTTCAATTTTATAAGTCAGTCACACCCCTTTAGATTTTAAAACGATTTTTTTTTAATTTTTTCTCCTCCTCCAAACCCTCCCCTCGCGTACTTTCGCATACCTCCTCCCTTCCTCCCATCCTTCCCTTTGAAATTGGCAAAAAAAAAAAAAAGAAAAAGAAAAAGAAAAAAAGAAAACCTGAGAATTGAAGAAAATCCATAGCCCGAATCACATGACGAGAGTCATCAAAATCATGCATAGAAATTCTTCGTAGCGAACAGTGATAATTCCATCCAAATCCGTGTCGTGCTGCCTAAAAGCTGTCGTTAACATCTGCAGAAAAAAAAGAAAACAATTGGATAAACTCGATACAGGTACCAAGAGTTAAAAAAAAAAAAAAAAAGAAAAGAAAAAAATGTGTCACTCACGTGCAAAACAATACAGCAAGCTATGAAATCGTCGAATCTTATGCTTCCGTTGTTCGACCTATCGAATCTTTTTATTAACAAATCTATGACTCCCTCGCTCAACCTGTATCCAAATGTCTGGAGAGCCGTTTGAAATTCTCCCTTGTCTATGGTACCTAAAAAATAATTTATAACGGTCAGCATCATCATCATCATCATGATATTCTTGACGAGATGAAATGATGATCTTGTCTATTTAATATCTTCTTTTTGGTGCTTTTTCTCGTCATGTACCAATTCCTGTGCCTTTGTACTTGTTTCGGATTTACGATATAATAAATAAACGATTTGTATCTGATTCATTATAATCTTTGAGTGCACAATTTATTACACGATTCACTAACACAACGAACACAAAAATAAAAGTCGATGCCACTAAATCCAAGATGCACTTCTTCTGTGTTCTTCTGACGCTCTGTGTAAGAACCTACCGAGTAGACGACTCTGACCCATGGAAGAACTCACTAGACTGAATCTGCGGTTCTAAAGGTCCACTATTTATACGTGGATGCACACAATGGATGCATTCACCATGCATCTGTTGCACACGTGCACTTTTTATATGTAATTGCCTTTTTACCAAGGGATGAATAGGGTTCCTTCTTCCCAACTTAATGGAGAAATCGTGTTGTAAGGCCATTATATAAATCATTTATAAATAAACAAATAAATGTCCACTTTAAAGCCTCTCACAAATAGGCTAAAATTGTTTACAACAACAACAACAGCAATTGAAGACGTCATCACGGGTGAGAAGAGTGCTATGTTTCTCCTTCCCCCCTCCTCCTCCCAAGTT